AATTTTAACTTGAGTGATCACAGCACCAAAGAGTGTTTTATTATATTTTTTGAATTGTGCACATTTATGATTATTTATTTGAAATAAACCCCTTGAAATTATGAATTTTTTTATGAGCGTTGTATTCATGAGAATTTAGAGAAGACTGAATACGTTCTCAGGAACAGGATGTGAATGAAGCCTACATATACATAAATCAAAATGACACAGCTTTATAATTAAATTGAAACAAAAGTTAGGCGTTCGCTATCACGTGACCACTGTGGTGTGAGCTGTCAGTTTCAATTGCTCACAGGTGGTGATAATGCAGGGCAAGCAAGAAGAAGTGAAATTTAAATTTGTGGATTATACACTTGCTACACAGCTGCATTTAGAAGCGATGTAAGTATATTTATTCTTATTTATTCAGGTTAACTGTTAAAATTGAATCGGAATTCATTCTTGTCATATTTTTGCACACAAGCACTGTAAGTTAAGGTTAAATAACATCTTTTAAGTTGTTTCTATATATCTGATTCTTAACTGTCTATTACAGACACGATTCTAACAAAGAAATTCAGCCAGAGACTGCAAGGAAAGCAAATGTTTTGGCGGTACATGTAAATAACAATGAAATCGAAGACCATGCATAAAGAAGTGTATAAAGTATGAGTCCGTATGACAAACGGAAGATCAAGATGAAGAAAACGAGAGGCGACGAAGGGACGGAAAAAGAGCGGGAATACAACAAAAGGACTATAATAAAGGAAGTGAGCCCTGATTAAGAACTTTTAATTGATAATTTTTCATAATTTACCTCTGTTGTCTATTTTAAAATTTATTTTGTAAATTGATTGAATTTATGTATATAAAATATTATCACAGTGAATCATTAGTAATGTTTTTATTGAACATGTCCATGTATGTATTATGAATGCAGATTGAATTGTGTATTAATTATTTTAAACAGTCATAAAATAGGTTTATGTAAAGAATCACTTAACCAATTGCAAATGTTTCTATGTAATAACTACGTTGGCCCAACAATTTGCCGACATTGTAAAAAAAAAAAGGGGTCAACATTGGGCCAACCTAACCAACCAGTTGTTAAGGTTGGCTGTTAGTTGGCATACACTAAAAATACATTGGCCCAACAATATGCCATCTGACATTTCAACTTAGGGCCAACCTAACCAAACAGTTGTTAAGGTTGGCTGTTAGTTGGCATACACTTATAACTACGTTGGCCCAACAATATGCCATCTGACATTTCAACAAAGGGCCAACGTTGGGCCAACCTAACCAACCAGTTATTAAGGTTGGCTGTTAGTTGTCATACAATTATACCTACGTTGGCCCAACAATATGCCAACATGTTGGACCAACGTTGGGCCGATGAGCAAAATTACCGTGGGCCAACATAAGGTTACCAACAGTGGGCCAACGTTGGAAAAAAAATTGGGCCAACGTTGGCCCAACTATGTCTTGCTATCTGGGATTTTTACATTCATATTTAATTATGCTGTTCCTGAAAACGAGGATATTAAGAAAATGTGTTTATTCTCAATACAATTATATATAAATGACAATGTCAATAAACAGTACTAGTCATATTATTATAGCTGAAATATATACATAAGCTTTTTTTAAGGACTCGTGATAATTTCTAGTATAATTACATGTATGCATACAAACCTGTAGATAGACGTTATGGCGCCCTCGATAGTCGTGGTATCTTCTTATATACGACAAAAAAAGATTTGGAATGGTACAAATATTAGATTGTATTGGAGTTGTTTTCTCAAGAGGTATTTCTCGAATTCGGGTTATCAAACTGAAAGACGGAAACAATTCCTTTGATTTTTCTATGGCAGCGTTAAGTGCTTCAGGCGTTCGTTCGACAACTAATGTTAAATCTGCACCATCTCTCACAAGCATATAGGATTCTTCATATGGTCAAGAAAGACATGCTTTGGTGAATATACTGGAAACCCACGATTCTTACTAGACGTATATCTATAAGAGATATCGCGGTCGTAGGTGGTCATTTCATAAACCTGAAAATAACTGCAATTTTTCTGGTGATTTGGTCCATCTAGATTTCTGCATGTTTCTGAACAGTAGAAAACAGATTTACACATGGGACATGCGATTTTGTCAGCATTATTTTCACAATTATTACAGATAAAATTGTTAAAATACTCTTTTAACATCCATTCTGGCGTGAGGGAGCATTTAGAGTCGTTTGGGTTCCTTCCCCTGTGTTCTTCGGGTGTCACAAGACCCAGTCGGGAATACTCGATGGCGCTCAAAGTTTCACCCTTTTTCATAGATTTTTGTGCTTTGCAAAACGTCTTATGTTTTGTCCAGTCCGTCTGTTGACACAGTTGGGAACAATAATAAACTCTACTGCAATATCCGCATTGCAGGTTACTGTTTTCTCTTTTGCACTTTGCACATATAGGGGAGGTTTTTGGGTCTTCAGGACATTTAGTGTCACATTTTTTCAGTGTATCTCTCTTGATACAGTTAGGTTGGTGTCTTGGCCAATCGGCCGTTTGGCAATAAACCGAGCAGTACTTCTGGGACATGCATCTTTTACAAAGTTTCATCGTTCCTCTTAGCCCACAGAAGGAGCAGCAGTCATTGTTAGTCTCGCTAGTATGCAAATTAAGCAAATCTCTCACATACATCAATTCTGTTTTCTTCTTTTCCGTTGTTTCACTAGTTTTGACATCTTTTTGGCACTCTTTCTTGTGACCAGCCTTCCAATGTTTTCGTTGGCATTCTTTGGAGCAATACCACGAGGCTTTGCAAAGACTACATCTTTTCATGACCGTGGACTTTACCTTACAAAAGCTGCACTGGGATAACACGGCAGATTCCATCTCTGAAAATGTATTGCATGATTTTGAAATCTCTACAATTTTAGATCTTTTAACAATTAAAAATTGCTTACAAATCGATCAAAAAGGGACTTTGGCGTTGAAATTTTACTTTTATAATCGACATACTAGTATTTTACTGCATTTATCATGGGAGTTATATTTGAATTTTTTCACTATGTATAAGGGATACATTCAAATATGGGCATGTGTAATAATACCCCCGTTTGAAAAGCGGGGATACTAAGTATATACATGTACATGTAATAGTAATGGGGATATCCGTCCGTCCGTTACGCTGGGGTGCCATCTCTCATCCACAACTCCTCTTATACCACTAAAGGAATTTTAATAATACTTTTACAGATTCTTTATTTGCGCAACTCCTATATTTTATACTTTTTGATTTGACATTTACTTCGGGTCTCCCAAAGCAAAACATGGACTTTGCCATTATAATGATTTGAGAGGCGGGGGTATTATTTGGTAAGTTCTGTGCTCACAGTACCTCTTGTTTTTGTACATATTTTGTTAATTTGTTTGGCATTCTAATAAATGTCCATTTACGACAAATATTTTGTTGTTATAACAAACTGTATTTGCAAAAGACAGAGCAGAGTAGAGTCTGTAGACTCTTGGATGGAGATAATGATTAATTCAGGAGAGTTGATTGATTGATTGATTGTATATTGTTTAACGTCCCTCTCGAGAATTTTTCACTCATATGGAGACGCCACCATTTGCCGGTGGAGAGCTGCAAATTTTGTCCTTTACTCGGCACTCAGGGCCATTGAGCAGGGAGGGATCTTTTTCGTGCCAGCACCTATTGCGACACGGGACCTCGGTTTATACGGTCTCATCCGAAGGACCGGTCTCCACGTCCCGCAGTGGGATTCGAACCCGCGACGTAAGGATTGACTCCTTACTTCGCGACTCTAAAGCAGACGCTCTAACCAATGCGCCACGCGGGCGACCAGGAGAGTTTAAGACGATTGTGTAATAAACCATTGTTTTAAAGGAAATCTTAATACAGTATATACTAGACTAGTGTACTTACATGCGAACAGGGTTAAATAGTCCCGTTTCTGAATTAAACAAAAATGATTGAGGAATAAATGAAAAATACTTTGAATCAGTTCGTATCTTAAATTTACAATAGAGGGTTTAGAATCCGGACAAATATATATGTAGTACAAACGCATGTAATTGACCTTACGTCATTTAATCAAAATTTGAAAATGAACTTTTCTGTTTTAAAAAAAAATGATTGCAAGAGAAAGGGTATCAAAATTACAAACAATGACTAATCATTTAACGTGTGATAGCAGTTTAGTGTATTGTCATTTATAAATGCAAAAAAACAAATGTCATATGATATCATAATTCTAGTAATTTATCAACTAATCAGATAACTGTAATAAAAATATCACTGTTTTGTGAGTATATGTAAAATCATAAGCATACAACTGCATGATAACGTACAACTCTCTAACCGTTGAGGCTTTGCATGAAGCCAAAGTACAATATTTTCTTGATTTTTTCCCGAGTTCACTTGATTGTTACCCATGGACTGCAGTGGTAAAAGCAGGTGTTCCTAACAAAGCAGGTTCAAATCCGACTGCGGGACGTGTAGACCGATCCTAAAAAGAATGAGGACGCATGTCCAGGCCTGTTTGACATCCCCTTGTTTTAGTTTTAATAGTAACTTTTCATTAAGATGCGAGTTTGCCCGTCACTCCCACTATGGTACATTATGTAGAACTCCAATGTACCAGAAAGTTAAATATCAGTCACCCCCAATCCCCATAATTAGGGTATCCATACATCATTTACCGGTACTCATCATGTCTTTAGACGATTTTTCAACAATTTTTTTCTCTCTGTTTGATCCTCTACTTTGACTTACATTATTACTGAGTGTCATGCATGATTTTATCAAACTTGAATCTACACTACTTGTAGCTGTACTGCTATGACTAATCATGGCTTTGCCTTAAAATTTCCTGAGAAGAACTTAAACAAATGATTCATGATAATATATATGTACATGTAACAATTTGTAGTTCTGAATAACATTTCAATTATTAATTCAAATGATAATTGTCTAAAACAATGAACAAAAAACAAAGAAAACTATTTTATAAAATATATTTATTTACATTATTTACAGTCACATATAAAAGATCACATTTCATAAAAAGTTTTTAAAAACTGACATGTTTTTCAATGTTTTGATAATACATGTATCTGCCTATGCTATGAATTTTCTAAAAAATCAATGAAAATTGTTTTAAATACCATTTCACATTATTATTTTAAATGAAAAAGTGAAAACAAAGGCTTTACAAATGAATGTAAATTGTCATAACACACAGCATAAAATTAATGACAGTACTCCAATCTCAATAATATTAAATTTTCTAATGGAGTAACCTCTTTTTCCTGTTATTTTATTTATCAATTAATGAGACAAGTCAAGTATGTGTACATTTTATACCAAATTTGTTTTATCTGATCCGAAAGATGATTTGAAAGCTTATTAACTGTCCTATAAAAAATACGGAGTCGTTGTGCGTGCTGGTATGACCCTCTCGTGTTCCGGAACAGCGCGGAATAGTTTGGCCTCTCTCGTGTCTGGGTCTTTAAATGATAAAACGGCTGCAATGTTTCCACATCGATAACAGTAGTTAGGGGCTGACCAGACCGTCACAAGTTTCTCATCAAACATGTACTTGTAACCTGTAAAAATGACACATTAGCCTACAATGTAAAATTGTTACTAATTTATAAGAATTCAAGAACCCCCCCACCCCCCCCCCTCAATTTATCCTTTAATTTTTTTCCCAAAAATTTTGACATACATGTATTCTTCTTGTCAGTTTTTATAAAATGTTTTAGCTTTACCTTCATGCACTAACTGATGAGCTCTGCATATAAGTTTCAGGTTGTTGATATGCATAAACTGAAACAATAAATTAAAGATGCAATTTTATAAATTGGAAGACATTGTACATTATCAGATTCACTCCATTCCTCTCCCCATTGACTAAGGCCCTGTGTGAAGAACCTTTGGTCTGATTCGTGACATATTCTCCTGCACCCTTATAACCAAGTTCAAGATTTTCAGATTGAAAAGTAACAACAGGGTCTAGCATTTTACATTTTTTTTCAGCTCATGACCTTTGAAATGACATAATGAGGAAGGGTAGAAAAATATGAGTACACTTTAACAAAATTTCTTTAAAACTTTCTTTTGACGCATCAAAAAATGGCAGTAGTCATCCCCATCTTTTTTTTTTTAAAATAAAAATCTTGCAATGACAATTCTCAATGTTCCTTGTAAAGGTTCTTTCCTTAAAAAAAAATTCTCACCTCATTTGTGACCTTTGCCCCAAATAGCCACCCTGCACCCCTGGGACTGATTGCCCATGTCTCAACATCCTCTGGATCAGACCATACCAGATGTAAACAGCATTAAGGAAAAATTCGAAACTTATAAATACTTGCAAAATTCCAAATAAGACATACAACCATGATAATATGTATATTTTGGAAAAATCTGAAAAACTTTAGCCGTATCTCAATTATTCTGTTGAATTTAAAGACAGATGTTGGGGTTTTAATTTTACAATTAAGAAATACTGGGCATTTTCAATATATTGATTTTTTTTTTTTTGTATTAAAAGAAGGCCAAAAGGCATGATTTCAGATGACTATCTTGCCAATAAATATTTGTATTTGTAAAGTTATGTGCTTAAAAATTCATACAAACTCTTAGAAATTCCTTCATATTCACTTTTTGGAAATAAATCACAAAATTAATCCTGAAGTTTTCCTAAATTGAACAAAATTCCCAAGCACTATAGACCCTGAATCTTGTTTAAAAATGGTAGGAAAACCCCTGAATAAATGGTTAGCTGCAATATGAAATTAATCTCTACGCATCACATATAATGTTTATTAAAATGAATTTGAATTCCCAGGTAAGGTCTAAAATTTTATTCATAAATCACTTATGATGATATTACACAATGACATAATACAACAAATCTCGATGAGTCTTTTTAAAATATGTTCTACATGTACAGATCCAAATGCAAAATTCATGTCAAACTGTCAAAAAAAGCACTATTCATCTGCAAACTTCTTCATAGACGAAATGAAGCCAACATATGCCTTCTTTTCATATTTTGTGCTAAATTCAATCAAGTCTTGAGTGAAAGCTCTGTCAATGCCTCTTTCGTCAAGAACGTCCATAAGACCCTCATACATGTCAACGTCCATATTTTCTGCTTCACACACATACGTTGTTTCTTTAACTTCCCCTTGCGTCATTGCGACGTTGATAATTTCGAATCTGTCGGACACATCATCCTCCGATGGCTCTTCCCCCATTCCTTCTGAAATCATGCAGCGGATAGCCATTGTGTTACCACTTGGCTTGACAATTTCCACCTCAAAGGGAGGCTTACAAAACAATGGCATATCATACTCTACTTCTTCTCCCTCCGGTCCGTATTCCTCTAGAGCCCCAGCAATGCTGAATTTTACTCGGACAGTCTCTTTGCCTTTCTTTTTGTTCAAAACGATTTTAACTCCCTCACATTCCTTTGACCATCCATCAAGAAGGTTGTCAACTTCTTCAATCCCGTCTTCCATTTCCGACTTTATTTCAGATTCCAGGTACTTTGACAAGTTGGAATCACTTTCGAGGCTTGCACTTTTCTGATGACACCAACGCTGTTGGAAGCTTCCGAATTGCCTCGGAAATTTCACAGGGCTTGAAAATGTTCTTTTACTCAACATGGTACGACTGGTAAGATTTCTTACTGCTGTAAATCCATTTTGTTGGAGAGAAGATCTCGTATTCAGCGCACATAATAGCGTTTTCCGAACTAAACTAGACATTGTTTGATAAAAAGTTCATAAACCACGTGAAACCAGGTCAATTTAGTTATTACGTAAATCGTACGACGAATGATTCGTACTTTGATTTGTTAAGTCGTACCATATCGCTTCGATATTTCAAAGTAACATTTAGCACGACAAACGGAAGTAAATTCATTTAGTAATTGAGAAAGAAGTAAAGTAATTAAAACTGTTTTTTTTTAGCATGCTAAAAGGCAAAAAGAAATATGACAATCTGTTTTGGGTCTATCATTTCAAAAAATTCCTGATTTTTAGCTATGTCACAAATTTTTAAAATACATAATGAGTACATAAATTAACATTTACCTAGAAAAATTGTTTACATATATTTACACAAAAAAGGATATCACAAAAAGCTCCTTTGTGAGGGATTTCTTGATTCCTCTCAATGGTTCTAATCTGGTCAATGGTCTTTATATCTGGGGAGAGACCTCCATGGACACATAATACACACTCATCTATAATCTGTTGAAAAAAAAATCATATGATTTTTATCTTTGAGGGAAAAAAAAAGTCTGCTTCTGATTTCATTTTTTCTTTAAAAGAAAAACTGAATTCCACTACTACATCACCCCAAGAAAGAAAATAAATAATTACATGTACTGCAGTAAGAAATATTGCCAACATACATGTATTTATCATCTGGTGATTTGTTTTGGTATGTTTGCAACATTTCAGAAGTAACAAATACATGTATACACACAGCAAAATATTTTTATAATATGTGATTACTTGTTGTTATTTTTTTCAGTAAGATACTCACTGCTGCTACTGTGAGAAGATCAAACACTTTACAGCAATATCTCCAGGCATTGGCATTCCCATACTTAGACTGACATTCATCTAAAGGTTAAAAAAATATACACCATCTTTGTGGTTATACATCTTGTTAAAAAATTAATTTCACAAACACTTGAGAACTGAACTCTCTGGCAAAGGTTAGAAATGATGGTATTTCATGTCGAAATTTTCAGAATCTTTATGATTAGAAAATCTTTTGGGTTTATTTGGAGTTGTTTCGTAATTTTATTAATTTTTGTCACATTATCAATCCGGAGGACAAGCCTCTGCCAGGCATACCAGAGACATGAGAGATGCCTTTCCAAATACTGTAAATCACTTTCTACTCATGAGAACTTTATTTTAGCCATCTTCACTGTACCCCATGCTGGTCATCTTCATTAGCCAACGGTTTCTGATACACTACTCTCCTCATGAACCCTTGGAATACGGTGAAGTCAAAAGATGGGATTGTTTTTGTCACGTGATCTCACATCTACCAGGTAAGCACAGATTGCTTCATAGACAGAAATAAAAGACGCGTATTAAAAAAAATTAAATCAAAGTTTTTTAAAGAATAATCAAGAAGCAATAATTGAGTTCTGTTTTTTTATTTATAGTACAAATCTGAAGCTTCGATATAGATTCTTTATCACATATTTAGAAGATACTGGATGACACCATAGCTATTCATAGAATTGCATCTTACTTATTATCTTACGGATCGTTGTTTACTTGCGTTTTTCATTCCCAATATCAAAGAGTCAAGATGTATCCTAAACGCAGATATGGTCATTTATGAAAAACAATTGCCGACTGGTTGACTGAGTGTACCAAATCCCAATCAGAACTCAAGAAAAAAACCCAACTTCTGATAACACCGTATGACAAGGGATTATGAGGAGAATAGTGTATCAGAAACCCTTGGCTAGCGAAGATGTATTTTAGCGTAATTTCATGAGACAGTGTGCTCGTGAAAATTTAATTTTCGCATATAATAGTATTCCTTTTAGACTAAATAGAGCAATAGCCAAGATTCTTGAAAATTTTGTCTCGCTTATCGAGAGTCAATGACTATATCGCAAAAATAAGGTGTCGCAAAAATTGAGTGATCTACAGTACTCCTTCTTGTGGAGCTAAAGTTCTGCACCTCACTTGACTGTCAACAATTGAAGACCATGACAGTGAGTACAAGGCTACAGCTCATCCCAGAAAACTCAGCAGACATGCATATTCATGTGGGTGATTGGGTATAAATGGTCACTTGCAGAATATAAAATCCTTACCATAAAATCCATAAATCTGAGTAATCTGTCTGCTTTCATGATTTCCTCTCAACAGAATTATTTTGTCTGGCCATCTGTGAATATAAAACAAAAATGAGAGCTAATAGTAGAATTCTGCTATTATAGCATAACATTAAAACAAAATATTTGTTAGTATACCTGTTTTTCTTTGGCTGAATACTGTATAGCAATATTTTACCTGGCTTTTAGTGTCAGTAACAATGTGAAAGTTTCCAAACTGTAATATCCCCGATCAACAAAGTCTCCCTATTTAAAACAAAGTATACAGAACAAAGCATGAACAGAAATTCATAAAAGTAACCAAATTACATGGTAGACTTATTAAATTTTAAAAACTTACATTATAATTATTTCCAGAAAACGTAAACTAATTTATGCTACACAGTCAGACCTTGGGAGATCCTTTCAATGTCAAGGGTTTGTGAAATCGGAAGAGTTCCAAAGTCACAAACCTTTGACATTGTGAGGATGACCATGGGATAAAAAAATATTTTTATAATGGCTTTATCAATGCTGGCTAATCTAATGCAGATGAACATACCATAAAAATGTAGTTTGTGTCTGGACACTGCCCTCCTGTTCGGAATAATTCCATCAGGTCATAAAACTGCAATAAAAAAAACCCAAATTTTTAACAATAGAAAGATTCTCTCTTTAACAATAGAATGACAAAGATGGTATAAAATACTTTATGTTGAACATAGATACACACATTTTCTACATTGGATATCATTTTTAATTTAATTTTGTATTCATATATTTTATTTTAATATATTAAATATAAGGCAAATTATTGAGATGATTGAAGTTGGCAAAATCTAAGAGAAATAGTCAACTACAGGCCACCTGTTGTACTTCTGATTTCTCCTTTGTTATTGTATTATGAAAATATAAATTTCTGAATATTTTTAAGGGAAATGAAAAAACAACAACAGTACTAGTTTTTTGCTTACCTAAATTCACAATTAAATCCACATTAAGATTAAAGTATAAAAGACCTTTACATTATCATAGTAAAAATTTTTTTAAATCTTTGCTAGCCAGTTAAAAGTTTCTGATTGTCTACTCTCCTCATATTAAGTCCTTGGCCTACTATGCTATAGATCAAAAGATACAAGTGTTTACAACACACGGTCTCAAAAATCTTCTTCCATACAAATATTCGGCATTCCTTGTTTTTGAGGTATGAGAGACCCACGAATTTACGACCCACCACAAAATGCAAAATTCATAAGCATTACTACTAAACATTCTCCAACCATGAAATCAAATCCCCAGATATCAATATTTCTTTTTTCTAAAACCTCGAACATTTGGCCTCACAAACAAAAATATTTGATTTTACAGTAGATTCCAAATTTAAATTATATGCACAGCAAATTAAAGTTGTATTATGCTTTAATTATTTACAGAATGGCCATTTTTTTTTTTTTATGGATAATTGTTTACATTCTTTGCATTCTCATGATCATAGAGTCACGTAAAGTCCTGAAATGAAAATATGGTACATCATTTACTTAACAATAACCCTATGCGGATTAGTCTTGGTTGCACAATATCAATTTTACTGCAATCAGAACTTTAGGGGAAAAGCCCGACTTTTGATAACACTATAGACTGAGGGTTTACGGGAGAGTAACAGATCAGAAATCCCTGACTTGCAAAGAAAACCTTAATTCACAAGTACTTATGACCATGATGACCCATTTCAATCATTAAAGTTTCTATACCTTACATTTTTATCACTATATAGTTCTATAACAGGGTTTGAAATTTACAATTTACAACTCGCAAAATGTGACTTACAATATCCAGATTGCGAGTTAAAATATTTGTAACATGCAAAAATTGCGAGTTGATTTTTTTAATAGTAATTTTCACCCAGGAAAGAAACGCCCATTGTAATCCAGTTTTAGTCCTTCTCTCTTTAGTTACTGTTTATATCTGCCATTTTCAAAAGAAAGAGCATGTGCCATTTCGTAATCATGTGGAAAATAAATTAGAATGTTTTTTAAAAGATGGATAGATGGCTATTTATTTTTGAAAAGCTTCATTTTAAAATTGTGAGTTGCCTTTTGTAATCGTGAGTTCATTTTCATGGTACTCGGAATTACTTGCGAGTTATAATTTTAGGGAGTTGTATAATTTAATCAAATACCTGTCCATGGATATCCCCACACACTGTAACTGGTGAGGAAACAGGCTGCACGTTGGACTCCTCAAGCAGGAGTTCACACACCATATCACACAATTTCTGTAACAAATACAACACATTTTTATTATTAAAGCACCAAATTGACCACCAAACGGGGGTTAAAGGACCATTTGGTGGTGTGTACCCAACCTGTTTATCATCAGGTCCAGTACAATCTCTTGATTTAGCTATAAAGCTTTAAATAGCTATATAGCTTTATTAAGCTATTTGGTATAGCTTAATTTAGCTATTTGACTATACTTTTTTCTCAAAGGTGTAATTTTCTCAGTATGTACAAAGAAAGCGCACCTTGGTGCAGTGATGATATACAACATTGAACTCTTCTTAAAATAATGCATGTGTAATTCACTCATCAAATTACGTCTCCTTGAGAGACTTTGTACTCAAAGTTCTACAAGTTTTGGGGCTATATAAAGCAATTGATACAGTTACTTCTGCAATGATATTATAATGGAGACCAATTATGTTCAACAAGATAATTGATTGGTAACAATTCAGCACAATGAGAAGCAATCAGGCCTCAAGGTACCCAAGGTAGTGGACAGTTAGTCTAACAATAGAAATTCTCTTATGCTTAAAAGTATTCAAAAGCTGCAAAGTTAGAACTATCTTTGATTTTGGTTGTTGTTTTGATAGCCCATAGTACAAATATGAAGAGTCAAATACATGCGACTTTTTGTTTATTTTCAGCAAAAAACATTTTTGTGAAAAACTGTATAAAAATAGCTAAATAAAGCTATTTTGAATAGCTTAATAAAGCTATATAGCTATTTAAAGCTATATAGCTAAATCAGGAGATTGTACTGGACCTGATCATTTCATCCAAGAACTGTGTCAGATAACAATCAGATCAATCGCCCTAGAGCTTTTGGACTATATGTACAAAGTCTCTCATGGAGACGTAATAGTTATTGAGGGATTTACTTTTTATTCAGAGATTGTGGTACCAGTGTTATTGCATTGGTCAGTTGGTTTGTCAATCAAATAAGAAATGATCAAATCTGAAGAAAAGAATATTAACGTAGCAGATTAATGGTGTTAGACTTGAAAAACTAATTAGAATGGGAAGTTTTCCAACATCATAACTTACTTTAAGGTCATTTTCAGGAAGGTATTTACATTCTTTTGCTACCTCAATCCACTTTTCAATTTCCGCCATGTTTGTTTTCTCACGATGAAATTATACCATTCAAATCAATGACGGTATATATTTCCGGTATTGTTTTTATTCTTCGTTGATCCTAATAATTTCACTGAAAAAATGTATCAACTTGTATATTGTGAGATCATTTTTACCTAGTCCATTTTCCATATTTTTTTACCATGTGAATTATGGAGATAGGTTGAAGAAAATGAAAATTACTCTAACAAAAATAGAGGTACTGTGAGCGATGAGCTCACTAAATGATACCCCCCGCCTCCATATAGTTATAATGGCGAAGTCCATGTTTGCTGTGGCCGGAAAACCCAAAATATGTGTCGGATCAAAAAGTAAAATAGGAGGTGCTACTGCACAATGGCAATATGTAATAAAGATTCTGTGAAAGTTTCATTAAATTTCATTCAGTGGCTAGAGGAGTTGCGGATAAGAGATGGGTACCCCAAAGCGTAACAGACGGACGGACGGAATTAACGATTACTATATACCCTCCCGCTTTTCAAGCGGGGGGTATAAAAATTATGAAATTGTCAAGGATGTTATATTCAAATTTCAATGGCATTGCCGCAATGCATCTGAACGCCTGCAAATGTTAAGGTTTGTATCATCACAATGCTTACAGATAAAATAAATTTGACCCCCTCTTTCCGAAAATTATTAAAACTCAATTCGATCTCGATCTACGTTCTTGAACGAAAGGTGTGCGTGTGTGTGTGTGGGGGGGGGGGGTAGCTAGGTTATTCTGACTTTTGCTATCACTATTATTTTTTTTAAGAAGACCAAAGAGATTCGAAACTATAGGCCATTTGGATAGAAAAAATTATCATTGTCTGAATTTCACGATGGACATAATTCACAGATAGTAATACACTTTCCCTACAGTTTATCTGAAAAAGAAAAAAAAAATCATACAATATTGTTTGTTTGTAACTGGTAATTGAAAAAATGTGATAGAGCTACATCTAGCAGACGAGGATCCTAATCAGGGCTCTTCTCCACTAAGGCTACCGACCGGTCATCAGCAATGAAACATCCGACTCCTCTATTCCTCCCCCTTAACAGGATTTCCACACCCCAAAATATACCAACGAAGGTGTACATATCATCCTGGTCGCGGCACCAAATGTACCAGAGATTTGATCATTGAACTCGGATCCGGTGAATGTATACGTACATTGAATTAAAAACAAATCTGGAAATTCTAAATTCATACAAATGTTTCACCTGCATCCCAATTCCACTCATGCAGTATACATCAACTGTAATGTACAGGGAAATAAGGGTGGAAGTGTACGTATTGAGGACTGATCCCACAGCCACTTGGTTTAGTAACTAATTTTTAACCCATAGTATAATTATACTATGGGTTAAAACTTTTTCCCGAAAGAAGTGCCTGCATGTAACTGTCCCTCCCATTTTTTTTAACGTATATTAACATAGGCGTTGGAACCGGGGGGGGGGGGTTAGCTAAGCCCCCCTTTCTTTTGCAAAGATATATTAGGCATTGCAAATTAGGGGTAACCTTTTTTTGTTGGTTTAGCCCCTAATTTCAATTAGCCACCCCACTTTGAATTTGCTTCCGACGCCTATGTTAAAACGTATATTATGTATCAAATGTTCTTTGCGTTCAAATAAAAAATGTCAGCTACATGGTATTTTTAACATGAATAACCTCACATGAAAGTGTCTTTTCCCGGAAGTGATTCGCAATACCCTAAAAAATTGATGTAAAAATAACCACCGTCAAGGTAGCTGTATCGAAGATAGACTCGTACTATAAAGTATAGATCTCATTTTTCACTAAATTGGTTTTCCTTTGATATAAAAACAAACAAGTATAAAGTTGTTAATAAAATCATCTAGCTGCCCTAAATTATTGTACATGTGGATTGAATATTAATAATAATTATAAAAAAATTAAGCTAAGTTCAAAACTTTAAATACTGACCAAAAAAAAAAAAATTATCCATAGTTTGATATGAGATATGAAATATACACTGTATTCCTTTCAGTACTCAGATCAATACTTCAGTTGTATTGTCAGTCTATATATAAATTGCCAGTCTATCTCGGAATTTCCTTGAGAGTATCAGATCTATTTTTAGTTCCACACTAAGTTGATATATAAAAGAAAAAAACTGGCGCGTATTATATCATTCAAATCATGGCATCTAAAAGGAGTTTAATGAAGGACTTCTTCAAATTACTGAAAACTATCGATAGCTTTTCAGGTAGGTGTAGAGATCACGTGTTGTCAAACTGTTACATCAAAAACCATCTACATCTGTAATCCGTATTAATGTACTAGTCGCTAGTAAATTTGCAACCGTCATTACAAACATGTACATCAATCCATTGGGTTATTCACTTTTCTTTGCATCATGCATGGCATCTACAGATACGTACCAGTGTACGTGTTTGTACCATTTAAGTTCTGCTTAATTGTTTTCACGTAAAACGAGTAAAGTTTTGAACATGGTTAAATCATTAAATTTCTATATTTAAATCATATATGCAATTCTATTTATAGACGGGCAGGCCCGCGTCTTGTCATGGTCAGATGAGAGTGACGATGACGAATTCAGCTTCCAGGTAGAAATCTGTCCCTCAGGCGGACCATATTGCTCAGGGAAATATGTTTTTAAGGTACACGAAAATTTAATAAATCTGCAAATATAAATAATCATAATATAATCAAATTGAGTTAATTAAATTATCAATTATACACCTGTACACTATAATCAAATATATTTAAATTAAATAATCATTTTTAATGAAGGTACATAAGGGCTACAAAGCCAGACTTGTCTGCTATTTATATTTCTTACAAAGTCTGTTCTATTTATATAAATTGAGTCATGCCCAATATATAATATCATGTATGTAATATGCCCACAAGGGCCCTGATCTGGAATAATAAATATATTCTATTCTATAATACATTTTTGTTCATTTGATTTGCACTCTGACTTATTTGTAAGCAATTTGCAATGACCACAATCTTTTTTCTCATCACAGATTGCCACAACTAGTCAGGACTGGCCTAATTATCCGCCCACAGTCACGTGTCAGACTCTGATATTCCATCCAAACATTGAGGAATTCTCAGAAGACATTTTATCAGAAGAATCTCTAGACCATATATCAGTTGACTTAAAAGTATGCATAAGTACACTAGACGAAGATGAATGGAATTCAACGTGGAACTCATTTGACGATTGTGTTCAAGCAGTATTATTCGTTTTACACACACCTAACTTTGATGACCCACTTTCACCTTATGTGGACTATTTGGACCGTCAAGAGATGGCCAAGCTATCAGTGAAAGGTGGACAGATCGAGGCTGGACCTTATGTTCCTATGAATGCAGGCTGGGGAGGAAAGGAGGAGGGGAATGGGGATTCTATTGTGCCTGACCACGAGGAACCAATGGAGATTGATACTACAAACTGTAGCGTAGTGAGCAGCAAACGAGAATCAAAACTGTGTAATCAGCGTGTCCTAGAAAACTTTTACTTGACCAATATGCATGAAATTGTGTATGACGATCCTGGTGTTCAGGCATTTGAATTTTATCAATAAAGACATAAAATATTGTTTTTTGAAAAAATATTTATTGACATCTATATCCACATCTTCACAAGAAACAGGTTGTTCTATATAAATAATCGTTACCTTTACAGTGTATTAAATTATACTATATATCAGGATCGCTCAACATGAGGCGCTTTGTTTTAAATAAATGTTACATCGGTTCTAAGAATAGAATTGCTATGAATAACTTTCGCCCTATTGAATCTTTTAGTTTAAAACAGGAAGTCGAAATAATTGCTTTCTTTGTTAGTACGGTGGTTTGCTTAGCGTTTATGCACTGAATGACAATTGCATGTCTTCATAAGAAATAAAAGAAAAAATATGAAGTGGACGTAAATATATGATTATCATTGTTCAACAAGTGAAAATTGTTGAATATGCTACAGCTGCGAGTGACACAAGGATGATTATTTTTGTTTTGAACTTATTTTATTGACAATATGTCAAAGGGATTGGACACAAGTTCCAAAAACTTAGATAGTCCTCTCCCATACATAAAATCTGAATAGCCCTACAACATTTACAAAATTTTACAATAATATATACATGTACATAGAATATTTTTCTACATTTTACACCGCACCATGCAGGATAGCCTCCTCTGCAGAAACCATAGGCATTATCACGTATCAAAGATCCAGGGTATCAACATGTGGTTCATCTTCATTTTGTTGACAATAACTACTTATCATTAATCATTGACTTTATAACATCGATTAATCCAATTGATGAGCAAATGTAATAAAATTTTCATTAAATTTAAAAAAAAATATTTATTTTGCTTTGAAGACAGCCTGAAATAAAAATGATCAAGTGCTGGTGCTATTTCAGCTTTGAATATCTTGAGAAGTGCTTTTATTTCTTGCTTGGGTGCTTTTATAAAATTGTGAAAGTACCTTTTGAAATGCTAGATTTTGTTAGCGGCCGATTTGATGCGTTGCATCAATTTTACTTGTAATAAATATATGTTGCATGTCAAAAACACTCATGGAGAGGCATAACATGTATTATGAACTTTGCAGAGAGTTCCAATGAAACATATGGAGATATCGCACAGTATTCAAGATCAAAAGTCCATAAAACAATACAGAATAGGAACATAGCAAACATGGACCTCCAAAACATCAGAGGTCGGATCAGGTGCCATGGAGGAGTGAGCATCTTGGGCCGACCGGTCACACCCACCCTAGTTGTCAACTTTATTTGGATTTCCTTGAGAATTTAAGGGTTATTTCAGCAATTTTAATATCACAACACCTCCTCCCCCCAAAAAGCAAGAGAAAATAAAAAAATATACAAACTATGCTGTTAATTTTTCTTGGAAAATAAAGCCTCGGAGAAATTTGTTTTAACAGCATTTACATGTACTAAGTTTCTTTTCTGTTCCATCTGCTAATATATAACAAACAGTTAGAAGTATATTATATTAAATCTTCAATCATTACAGTCGTAGCAAAGGGTACATAATTTACAGAATGTCTGAATAACATCGTTGAAAACCACGGCCTAAATGTACGCTCCTCTCCAATTCTTGAGAGAGCTATATGAGACGATGCCTAAAGACGTAAAGAACGAGTTCAGATCAGTCACCCTTTTCACAATTGTCAACTTTACTTGGATTCCTTTAGAATTTTATGGTTATTTCAGAAATTTAAACTATCAGATTAACTTTTGAGACATTACTAAAACATTTCTATGAAGTACCTGTTTATCCATAAGTAAAAATTTAAAGCTGACAAGAGAAGATAAATGTTATCGTGAACAAAGAGAGGAAAGCAGATTTGCCATATTATACGTCTGCACAAATATACCATGGAAACAAAACAATTTTCAAATCTTAACAATAATTCCTTGTCCTCTCTTCAGCGTGATTTTCTTTAGGTTTATGATATCTCCATCTTTGTGTGTTGACGTTCCTGTCAGAGAATTGTCAATGGAAAGGACAAAGCTTCCTTCCGAAGCATCCACTGGAGGGGCGCTGCAGTCCACTGTGGAATCACGTGACCCAAAATTCATAACAACCAAGTATTTTGGTTGATCATGATCAGTTCTAATGTATGAAATGATGTTGTCGTTAACAGTCGAAAAAGAAATTTTCTTATTGGTAAATGATGGTTGCTGTCTCAGTTTAGCAAGACTCTTATAGATGTTCAAACTGGAAGCATTTACAGAAAGTTGTTTCTAAAAATAAGGCCAAGGAAAATGAGTTGTTAATGTAAAGTACCGGTATAATATTTCAAAAAAATAATAAAGACTTTATTCTGTAAAAGTAAACAAAATTGATTTCTCGAACCTCTACGTTTAAAACCGGGTAATTGGGATTCACGTGTAACCATGGGGTCCCATTAGAGAATCCAGCGTTTGTGGAGGAATTCCATTGCATTGGCGACCGTTCTGGGTCTCTTGTATGCTTTAAATAGTCCTCCTGTAAGATTGTAACAATTTTTCGAAGACTATCTTTGTAAGCCAAGTTTTTTGTCCGGATAGCTTGTCACAAACGTTTGTGAGGAGCGAAGCAAACCCAAAACACCTGACTTGCAAAGATGTTGCATATGATGGCAATGGTGTCAGCATGATCAAAATTTATATACATGTTCAGGTAACCCCATCAATTTTATAAAATTCTAAAAAGTTATGATAAACTGAGAACAGAACTATTTTTCGAGATAGATTAGTGTATGTAACCTTGTAATTCAGTCCAGCTGGGTCTCGACTCTCGTTGAATGTATAGAATGTATTCCTCATCCCTAGTTCTTCGCCGTAATATGTTGTTGGTGTACCGGGTAGTGTTAACAGGAGCATATTAAATACATCCACTAATTCTGTTCCCATTCTGTCGGCTATTCTAGATACATCGTGACTTCCTAACTAAAGTTAAGAAACATTCATGATTCATTTGCCATTTAAGAAAACAATAATGAAAAAATAAAATAATTGATTATATATATACTAAGTATACACACACACACATATATATATATATATATATATATATATATATATATATATATATATATATATATATATATATATATACACACACAAAATCCATTGATTCAGTGTTCGTCTCACAAACCAGAGCCATTAGGGCTAGTCCTTGTAGACTATTCGATAAGGGTTAGTTGTTGATATATATTTTATATATATATATATTATGGTTTTAACACATTTTTCGACTGATAGGTGTTAGTCTCGCACCTATATCTAAAAGATTAGGGTTATTCTTTGCATTTAATATTTATTTGTATTTTATTTTAAACAAATCGGCCTTGGCTTGGCGCGGCATCGCATTTTTACGCAGCAGTACTATGACGTCATAAACGTTAATTGTTTTCCGCACCATCAGACTTGGGCGTGTCTAACCACCGGGGTTTGGCGAAGACCATCGGTTTTGGCGTGACCATCGGACTTTGGAGTCCCATCGCACTTTGGACTTACATATATATATATATATATATATATATATATATATATATATATATATATATATATAGGTTCTTCAAATTTTTCAATGAGGTTGATGCCAACATCTTGATTGTTATCAAATTCTGCAGCTCTAGTTTATCTAAAATTAACAAAATTACCACAAAATTAGGCCACCAATCGTCTTTAAGACCCTCCAAAGAAGACTTTACAATATCCTGAATACAGCGAGCCTCACAAGATCGGTTAAGTTTCTGAACAAATGCAAAGTTGAATGGTATTGTGTCCACTTTGTAGTACGAATCTCGCATCTCATTCGTAATTCCGTATGATTCTGCTATTAAAATTCTGAAAGATATTGATTCGAAATTTGTAATTGGTGCGAATAATTTTCCTCCGTATATTTTTTATAAAATTTGTATGATTAAAAATAAAATTTTAATGTAAAGATAGACAATGCAGGCATGAGGGATAGGCAGTACTTCTCTTGTCCTTTACTTCTGCCAAACTTATCCAACTCTTTCTTCCATTCTTTCATCAAAGGATAAATATCAGGAAGGTTTCTGGTCAAATTCTAAAAAAGAACAATACAATATTAAACTTCTATTTACTTCAGAGTGGCGGCTTTCATTCTTTTTTCTTCTGTGATTTAGAAGTATTATTACATGTATGCGAGTCTTTTACAGTTTCATATACTTACTTTTATGCCATTTTCGTTTTTGGTCAAATTTTGAGACTCGAACAATTTTCGAATGGCGTCACCTCTAAATCCATCTACTCCTTTCTTCAGCCAAAATCGCAGAACATTCTAAAATTGTGAAAGGAGAGTCACTGTATCATAAAGTCAACTCTCGACATGAGAGGGTAACATCATATTTCCTTTAATGGCTAAACTGGCATCATGTTTACCAGGTGCATTTTATTCCAGTAAGCCAGTTTGCAAACACAACAAAAGAAAATGTATATCAAATCATATCAAATGCATGTTTATCACGAACTTTATAGCAACTCTGAGGGTCGTTTTGGTCTTTTACCCTACTGTGTTCCTTCTGAATTATCACAAACTTTATTGAATAGATACATATAAATAACAAATTTTTGAGGGGATGTCTCTCTTTTGAAACCGTTGCAAAGGACCTGATTCAAAATTATCGTTTTATTCAATGGTGGAAACCAGTTCTAAGTACAGTAAAATAACCACAAAACATGCATAACATCGACTTGCAAATTAATTTGTTTTTTGAGATATACCGTCAATTCTTTTACAACATCCGGGTTCCGAACATCGAGGTCCGGTTGTGCGTCCAAGTAGGCATGGTAATAAAACTGTTTTCGGTTTTTATCGTAGGTCCAAGCTGAACCTCGAAAGGCGCTAGTCTGCAGAAATACATACATAACTATATGAACCAATGTATATCCTAAGGATATTACATGCACGTATGCATAAAATTGAATCTTTTCAAAAACTACGTGTACATCTTCGCTAGCCAAGGGATTTTGATCCGCTACTCTCCTCACAAACCTTAGCTAAGCGGATCAGAAACCTTTGTCTAGCAAAGTTATCCAAATTCAGAACACTACCCAAAAGAAAAAAATTTAGAAGAAAAGGGCATCTCACCCAGTCATTCGGAGGTTTTTTGAAGTTGGTTTCGGAACACGTGGGACAGTTTATGCCGTCATCCCATACATAATAATTCCTGTATTTTCCGACACTGTGGCGGCTCATGTTAAACCAAACACTCTCGTTACTTGTATGGTTCGGAACAAAGTCTACCAGCACTCTCAAGTCTAAGAACGTACAAAAATAGGTTCCTTTCGTATTAAATCTAAATCCTTACATCATGTACATATTAAATAAGTTTAAAACCATTTTTTCTTGTCTTCCTTTTTTTCTTTTACAATATTGCTTATATACCTTTATCTCAAAATATGTATAGCTTTGATTTAGATCTCTGGAATTGTTTTTATTGGATGGTGTACTTCAATATTATTCTAACTAATTGAATAAAAATTGCATATCTATATATGTAAGACTGGACGCAAAATATTACTATGGATGATTCTTATATGAAGTCAAGCGAGTTTTACTACATATGAAAGTTGTACTGTTAAATCAGATGTATACTTCTTTTCTTGGCCTCTCCCATCAGCTCATCAAAGTCATCCATAGTTCCAAACAAAGGGTCGACTTGGGTGTAATTCTCAACATCATACCCGAAGTCTCTCATTGGCGATTTGTAGAAAGGACTCAACCAAATGGCACCGACACCCAAATCTTTCAGATAATCGAGGCGACTTGTTACACCTAGGACGTATATTTGAAACTAATACAGAGTATCAGACAAAGAAATCGAAAATAAACAATAAAATATTTCAAATCGTATGTAATAACAATCAATTCGAATCATTGTGGTATATTGAATTTTTTGATTAATAGTTTTTCTTATAATTTGAGTCACGTCTTGGAATCGAAGATGGCAACTATTAAACTTTGCACCTTTTTATATACAGGTCAGAAATATATCTATATACTCTGCACAATGTATTTTGAAAATGCAAATTTCATAGATTTTTTTTTTTAAATTTTACTTTGATGAATGTATTTAACCAAGAAAACACACAAAATCAAAAATACAAAATTCTGAAATCAAGCGTCTCTGCATGAATATTCATTGTCTATGAACAAATAGACGCTTTTTAGTTTTTGCCTTTAGTAATTAATTACAAATAAATAGTCCAATAAAAAAAAAAAGACTTTTCAGTAAAATAATAAATCGTCATTTGTATACCTTCAAAATATGATTTATCTGACCTTTTAAATCTCCGGTACCATCACCATTAGAATCCTGGAATGACCGAGGGTAAACTTGATAAATAATGCTTTTCTTCCACCATTCTAATTCACGGGGCGGTTTCTTTTTCGCTCGAAAACTTTTGTCTGTAAACGTTAGTACACATATTACCACGATAGCTGCTACCACTGCTACAAGCAAAACGAAAAGACATTTTGTCTGTTCGCAGAACTTCTGTTGATGTGGTTTAGACATTTTGATCTGAAAAATACCGAAGGGTGTTTTGGATTGAGTTGTCCAGGGTGGAATATCTGTGTTGTGCAGATAAGATGGTAATCTTCAAGTGCTATCACACATCTCTAAATCATTTACCATTCCGAGCGACCTGTCACAGATTTCTTACAGTATACAAATATACATGAATTGGTGTAAAATTTGAGGAAGATCAAAAGATGAATTTTTAAAATCGAAATATTTCACAAATAAAGTAGGACGTTTATAGATCATTTTGTAGCTGTCACTCACAAGTGGTTTGTACCAGAGGCACCTGTTTCATACATTGTATGTACAGGGCATTCGGGCGGTTTTTTTTTTTTTGCCACAAGTACCTAACTCAATTTCAGCCCCCTCCACTTCAAGCCAGTGTTTTATCAATTTATCAATCATGAGCCTACTTTGATAAGACAAGGCTCACTTCAAAAGACTTTTTTTTCTTTTCAAATATACATGTATCGTAACAGACGTCTTTGATCAAGTTATTTTATTGTAGACCTCTCGTTTATTACATTTTTACCAGTGAAATACCGTAATTGATTCCTCGAAAATTACCTCACTACATTTTAAGACTTTCGATGGGATACAAGAACTTCCGGTTAGTGGTATAAGAACATGCAGGGGACTTCTCAATCTGACTTCATTCCGAGTAGCAAATAAAAAAGGAAAGATGAAATGTTTGGTAGAGGATTTTTTACTATTTAACACGTTCTTTTTATAAAACTAAAATGATTTAATGTGCAAATCAAGAAATATGGAGTTACAGTTTGAAAAGCTAAATTCAATTTACTCTAGGGGTAGAATATTATCAAGGAGGAGGGCCTAGCAGTGAGGAATGTATCGGTCAGATACCTAACTAAAGGATATTTACATGTACTTCACATATACCACAAGGAATAATATTCGCTCAGGTCCATACATATATAATGTAACATATATAGCTGTTTATATACTGTTCTTTATTAAATATATTCTTAATTCGCCATCAAACCTTGGTTGGCTTGGGACATGTTTAAGGTACCTATATATACAGCACACCGCTAACTGAGGAGTCATGTACCTGTATATTTTGTGGAAATGTATTTTACTTATAGATCTATTTAAGGTATTTCCATCCTCCTATAATGTCATAGGTTTTTGAGAAAACTCTTATTAATTTAAATCTATACCATATAGAACAATATCTTTTGGAAGACTGTTTTTCAAAAAGGAGAAGGATGCTCAGATTAGGGGGACACCCTTTTGGGGGACATAGGGAGTTACCATCATGGTATAAAATGTAATTACAAAAACTCAAACAGTTTTTGAGATATCACCCGGAAATGAAAGTTTAACACACACACACAAACATAAAATGTATGAATTTACGATCTTGACCTTTTGACCTCAAATTTAATATAGAGGTCCATGGATGTTGTGTAATTTCAGCGTCTTACTTTTGCGAACACATCATGCCGAAAGAAAGTTAAAGGTGGTCGGACGGACAATATTATTTTCATAATACTGTTTACAAAAAAATTACAATTGTTGATGTTGACATATACTTCTGTTTATTTATGTGTCACAACCTATGTCTAGGTATTATAGTTGTAATAATAACACAAATACGGCTGCTGGGTTCGATACTATTTAATATATTATACGTAATCAGAAAAAGGGTGATCTGCAATATAATAAAACATGTATTTAATATTCCACACCTCACTCACACTTTAACGCGGATAATTCAAACTTATGAATTTAGATAATTTAGAAATCACTTCAGTTAAATAAAATGATCAAATAGATACTGAATAATAATTGAATACTAAGAAATAATTTAACAATTATTTCTTACCGTAATCCTAGACTTATTGCCACAATATCGTAAGATATAAAGTTGTGTTGGGGAGAGAGAACGTCTTCCCTCCCCAAAGTCTAAGGTTGGAGTGCTCGAGGAGTTATGCCTAGGTCACATTTAAGCGGATGGTCGGGCGACTAAATTTTTGTGGTCTTGTCGGCTGAAAGAACATGATCGGCCGACACAGTATCGGGCGACACGGAGCAGTCACATTCATTCCTAGGGACACCGATGACTTGGATAAATAAAACAAAAAAATATTTTTTCTTTAGAAATCAGCAATTTTTTTCATAGATCTATATTCGGATAGGTGACGTGAGTAATGTTTGCAAGACAAAGTCGCAGAATCTTATAAAATTTTGACTCAATATTGAAAATGTGTGCAAAATTTTGTATGGAATTGCATAAAAAACGACAAATGGCGCATATCTAAGCAGCAAAGAATACTTGAGATTTCTTTATATCTTACGGATGTTATTTCCGTTCAAAAAATATATATCAGTCCATGCATCAAAATTTTGTTTGTGTTATGTATCCTTAATAGGTTAAATATTCACAAGTCGGCCAATCGTCTCGCGATCATCGAGCTCTGAGCTACAGTTTGATTTTAACCGTCGGCCGAAATTTTAAACACCTTTATTGTCCAACGACGGACGACCGATTCAATAAACTGACCGCCGAAGGTCGGACGATGATCGAAGGTTGGTCGACGGATAACTTCAATTGAAGAAATCGGCCACCGACGCATAAAAAATTATAACTTGGACCGATGGACACAAAATTGGTCGGCCGACAAAAAAAGAGGTCAAAATCGGCCAAGACAACGGCCGATGAACTGACGACTGTCACCCGAAGAATTCCATTTTTGCTTCAAAACCCGTCGGCCGTTGGTCGTTTTTAGAAATGTGACTGGGGTTTTAGTATTGGCGCGAATGCGCAGTAGACATAGAAAAACCTGTTTAACCACTCCACCCGAATACTCTCACTGACCACTCACCCGTATAAATGAATGAATGAATGAATGAATGAATAAGGCAGTGAATGAACGTAGTAAATTCCGTAGTGACGACGGAATTCACTAGTTACTATAAAATAATGATGCCTCATAATAAGATATGAAAATGATATGAATGATAATTAGTAACATTAATTAATTAATTATAATTCACCCTGTGACATATGTTTCCCATCTTAATATTAAACAATATCGTATCTTATACATTTTTTGCGATGATTGGTAAATTTAAACAATATATATTAAAATGGAAATAGTTTTTTATACTTTGAACCATTAAAATTGCAAGGGTGGAAAGACCTCTCTTCTCTTCTCAATCTATATTAAAAACAAAATTATCACCCCTTGCCCTCTCCATAACTTCAGTACTTAACATAATGATTTGGAATTAAAATACCCCTGTAATTGATTGGTCCAATAACTATATACTTATAACCAATTTACACCCGATTCAAAATAATACGCAGAGGCGGTAGTGTTACACCAGAGGCGATTTAGTGAGCACCAAATCGTCAGTAGAGTAAACCAAATACTAGTAATGCATATACCGGGTATCAAATCCTTTGTGGCCAGAAACATCACGCCAACGATAAATAGAATTAGAATCATTTAGTGACATGTTCACTATCGATGGAAGTTTTTAATTTTAGCTTTATATTAATTGTCATATCATATTATAATTAAATTACAGCATAAAGAGTGGGGATAGAGGAGAGGGGATAGAGGAGATAAGGGTGGGAGAAAGGAGAAATACATTGGGGCGAAAAAGTGGGGGCGAGAAAGTGGCGAGAGAGAGAGTGAGAGAAAGAGAGAGGAGAGAGAGAAGAAAGAGAAAGAGAGTAGAGAGAGAAGAGATAGAGGGAGTGGGGAGAGAGGAGAGAGAGTGTGTGGGGGGGAGAGGGTGTGGGGAGAAAGAGAGAGTGGGGATAGAGGAGATAGGGGTGGGAGAGAGGAGAGGAGTGGGGAGAGAGAGTTTTCTGGATTATAGTTTGTGAAGGTGTAATGAGATGTGTCAATCAAACGCGTCTAGAAATTCGAAGTTTCAATAACTACCAGAAAAAAACTAGAGATATTGTGAGCAAAGAGCGCACTAAATGATACCCCCGCCTCCCATATGAATATAATGGCAGTGTTCATGTTTTGCTATGGGAAACCCAAAATATGTGTTGGATAACAAAGTAAAATAGGAGGTACACAATGACAATACATGTATGTAATAAAGATTCTGTGAAAGTTTCATCAAATTTCATTCAGTGGTATGAGAGGAGTTGCGGATAATAGATGCATGGGTACCCCAAAGCGTAACAGACGGACATACAGACGGATTACTATATACCCTCCCGCTTTTCAAGCAGGTGTATATAAAAATGATTTTTATTATACCCCCCGCTTGAAAGGCGGGTGGGTATATAGTAATCCATCTGTATGTCCGTCTGTCTGTACGTCTAGCTGTACGCCTCTGTCTGTACGTAGCAAAACATGGACACTGTCATTATATTCATATGGGAGGCTGAGGTATCATTTAGTGCGCTCATTGCTCACAGTACATGTACCCCCAGTGTGTGTCTCCCTTCTCAAAAAATATGACAACCTATACATTTTTGCAATATATAGCACCTATTAATTGTCCTATAATTTCAAAAAATAAAAATTAATGCAGTTTTTTTTTCTTTGAACCATTAAAACTTAAACTGTGAGGATGGAAAGACCTTAAAAGTGCACGTTTCACATGAACTGATACATATAGTTCTGATTTTCTATAATTTAATACAGATCTATGTAGAAGCAGTTCCGCATTTATTTCTTGCATAAGCTTGCCCATCTATTTATAGTTATAGGGACTTTCCATTTCAACATGTTTAACATCGTAGTTGGCAAGCTTGACGAAATACTGGGAAATTGCGCTGTATACTCATGATACTAGTACTCTTTTAATCAATCATTGAAAATAATTCGATTTTTATACAGCTACACAAATGAGTGTTAAATACGAGTGAGAAATTTGAATCCTTAATATCCGGGTTGCTGCAAAATAGGTTACAATCAATACTCTATATATTCACCTTTCTATTCCCCATTACATCTCTTTCGGAATCCTTAATGAGAGTAGTCTCCTGGGTGTCTGCTGACGAAGTTGTCGAAATCTGGCGGCGTTTTCGTAATTCTCTTGGTGTTGCTGCGATTTCCCCAGATTTTTTCATAATTCATTGTTCGAAGCTGTTTGGGAAGTATTTTATACTGTTTTGCGTACTGTCAGCCATTTGCAATTTAAAAATAAATAAGACAAGATGCCCTGGGGCCTCGACGGAGGCTGTGACTTTGGGAAAGGCACCCTTGTTCATTATTATAATCATGTACTTAGTTTGTATTTAAAATAAAAAACAAACAAACGACAGAAAATATCATATAAGCATATATACATACACACTACCAGAATAAACTTTTTGGATCAGGTATATTAACCAAAAAAAAAAAAAACAAAACAAACAAACAAACAAACAAACAAAACCAACAAAAAAAAAAAAAAAAAATCAAGACCGGGCTGTATGCCGGATTCGATTGGATTTTCTGGATGAGAGACTGGTTTGAATTTTTTTGGAAAAGTAGTAACTGCAAGTCCCATCGGATTAAAAATTGCATATTTGTTGCAATTTGGGATGTACACTTCTAGAGTATATAATAAATTAAACGTTTTGGAAGATTGCATTAAATTTGTACTGAATTTTAATGGTTTTTTTCCGAACATCTCAGGCCCTAGGCCTAATCCGAAATATCTGACGATTTCTAGACCATTTTACTATTTTGATATTTGACGTTTATTACCTTGAAAAATGTGAAATGGTTTTGGTAAACAAACAAAATCAGATAGGGAATGAAGGGGGTGTATGTGGGGGGGGGGGGGGGGGGGGCAGAGGTGTACTTAATTACTCAAAAAAATTCATCATTTTTTCCAAGACCTGCCACCTCAATATGATTTTCTCATAGCCTTAGTGCTACATGTACCACAGGTGCTTGAGGACAGGACCCCCCCCCCCCAACATAGACACCCGGCTGGGCCTTTTCGATTTATTTCATAAACTAAATTTTAGTAACATATTCTGATTTTAATTAATCCATATAACGTTATCGTTAAACCGAAAAATTACAAAAAACAGTCTATAAAAATTCGTAACCCACTCTATATATAAAAAGAAATATGTTACTATAAAAAAAATATCGGAAAGGTCCGGGGTCTAAAGGGGGGGTGGGTCTCAAGCACCTGTGAGTGCTACCTGCCCATGAACCTGTATACTAAGAAAGATAACTCCAATAAACCATCGCCAAATTACGATGTCACATGATCAATCATGTGACAGTCTAGACCATCAGTACACTATGGTAGGGTGCAGGAGAAAGAAACAAACATGAAAAAGAAAGTTGACGAGAAAAAGAGTTTATTGAAATCACATCCACCAAACGATGACAGCTATTCCGACTACGGGTAATGTGTCGTATGTTCTTTAAACAGATTTTATCTATTGTCAAACAGGTCAAAGGGGCATGCCCAAGTACTGTGTGTAGTATATAAATGCACTGTATATTGAGATGTATTCAACATCAAACTGGAAGTAACTACGTCTTTGTAGGGCAGTTATCGTATTGCATAATGAATTAATGATACAGATTTGTGCTAGCAATGTTATGAAGCATTCAATTATAGCACGGGCACTGGCTCAAAGTTAATGTAAATTATGTGCATGTATAAAAATGATCATAGTTTTTTACTTAGTATTTTTCTCACACTGTAATTTGAAGTTCTCTTCACTAGTACAACTGCATTACTGATCTATAAGAAAAAATTACTAATTTGTATTTCATGTAAGAAGTGGTTATGGGTGTCATCCAGATAACGTTATATTATATAAGACTGTTCCAAATTATCAACCACATCACAATGCACCAATCGGAAGGCAAAGAGACAGTCAAGGAAACTTTACACTAGGGGAAAGAGACAAACTAAAGCAACAACGCTGATGTTTTTTGGGGGGGGCGGGGGGGGGGGGGGGGGGGGGGGGGGGGGGGGGGGGGGGGGGGGGGGGGGGGGGGAAAGAAACAGAGATTCTTGCAAAAATTCGATGAAATATGACCTTAACACACCAGGATCCAAAAGCATTAAGTGTGAATTTGTAGTAGGAAAGCAGAACTGCATAAAGAAAATGTCTGGCTGGTCTCACCAGGAATTGAACCCAGGATCCCTGTATTACAAGTCAAGTGCTCTACCACATAGCTACTCAGGCCAAAATCCATAGTTTGTTGAGCTTGAGCTGAATTTCTACATTCCTGTCCCTCCTTAGACAGTGTTCAAGTGCACAATTTCACAGTCCCTCTGTCAAGACTAACACATAACAATTAAGTTGAGCAAGGCCTACCAGCAGGAAAGAAGGAATGCATGAAGGAAATAGTACTAACTGTAAAACGTCATGCTTATAGGGACACCCTTATAATGAATTGATGCTTATTGCGAAGTGATTTTCATTCCCTGTGACTTTAAAATGTATTGAAATAACTTAATGGATATAGTGAATTACGCTAGTGCTTATAATTAATGAAGCAAAATCACTCAACCCTGGTGCTTTGTTATGTGTTTTAATGTTAAGCTGGACTTCTGAGTTGAACTCTATGTGCTCTACCTCCAAGTGAGGTACCCAGGCCAATATCCATAATGGTTCACAGAGCCTAAACTTCTACAGGTTAAAAGAGAAAAAACCTTTAATTTTTTGTATATTAAAGACAAAGATGCAATTGTGAATATATAAATCTACTTCTTAACCAACACCCCCCCATCACCACCACCAGGACTTAACAATCAATACTCATGGGAAGGAATGAAAGTATCTCGCTCCCAAAACCCCTGCCACTTGAGGACATCCATACATCTTAGATTGTTATATTTCACAAACACATTTTTTTCGTATTATAAATTGTAATTGTTAGCTAAACAGTGACACACATTTAAAGCTTTGTTTTTGAAAGTGGGATGGCCAGCAAGAAAGAGGGGGGGGGGGGGGGTCTCTGATATAACTTCTCTCTGTACCAAATTTTATACATTACTACATTACCTTATTTGACTAGACTGCAACAAACAAGAGTGGTAGCAATAGCCTATGGCTGTAAATAGCCGTCATCTTAAAATCAAAAGTAATTCAATTGTACTGAGGGAGAAAAAATGCAATGAAACCAGACTGGGATTTTAATCCTAATGTCCTGAATCTCCTGAGTCAGTTTACCAACTGAACTATCTTGATGCTGGCATTGAACACCGCATTCCTCCCTCCTTAAAGGAAATCAAGGTCTTTGTCCCCAAAAAACATCAACCCATGTACGCTCTTCTCTGGAAGGTCCATCACCTGTCACATCCTCGTAACTGCACCAAGTGAGAGCAGTAAAGGAGAAAAATGCGATGGATATATATATTTGGAAGCATGCTCAAGTGTATTAAGCAAACTGACATACTAAGAGCAAGGGTGCCTCATTTAATAAAATTTTGGAATTCATGGCCTTTGGGTCAGGAGCTATGTTGTAAGGGTTGAGGGTATTTTTGATTTTTTAGATTAGAATTAAAATTGCATCATTCATCTCTGAAAATTTTTCTCCCAGTCTGCTCCTTGGCATCAAGCAAACAAACTAACTTCAATGTTATAATGAGCAAAGGTTCCTCTTCCAAAGTGATGAACACTGTGAAACCAGGCTCAGAGTTAATTGCAAGGTTTGGGGTCTTAAAATATAAAGGCCTTTGCAGTCCAACCATGATAAGCATGCATTCAAAAGTTATGACAATGATGACCTAGGTTAATGTTTTTGAAAAGTACGGGTAGGCCAAATTCCAAGGTCAAAAATATTTGTACCCAGGGAAAGTTCTGACTTAAGGAATACACTATATGAAGTAGGAAATCTCTAACTCCACCATTCAAAAGTTTCAGACAAGGTAAACTAAGATTGGTAGAATTTAAAAAAAATGGTGAAACTACACGGTCAAGTATGTTATTGATGCCAAATAATGCAAAATAAAAGGTCTCACATTGGATACACTTCTGAAAAATGAAATCCATAACTGCAAGCAATCAAAGGTAATGTCAGCAAACTTAAATCTTTTTTGTGGATCAGGACAAGCTAACAGCCAGACAGACAGAGGAAAAGGCAAAAACTTCATGCCCCAGGGGCCAAATCTTCAATAACTGGGACTTAAAAAATTATTTATTTGGCCACAACCTGCATTTGTCCCTTTTCCTGCCATGGCCTTTTAGGAATTTAATTTAATCTTTGGACATGCATTTTATGCTTTACTCTTAATCCCGAAATCTTGATCATGGTAATTCTTTTTGGAAAATTTAAATGAATAAATTTTGATGTCATTATGAGCTATAGCCAGATCACAAGAGATAGTATGAATCATCAATATCAGGCAAATCATTTACTTTCAAATGCTACGTGATAAAGAAAGTGATAACACCAGCAATATTTTGATTCTTTATTTGTCCCCAAATGTGCCAGTTAAACCAAGTCAGCTGATAAGTCTTATCTATCTAAGTTATGTAATGGTATGTACGTCCTGCGTAGTTAATTCAGTTTATCAACAAATGGTTCAGGGAATGATAATGGACTTCAGCATACAGTGTTTTTAGTGCATACTGGGTAATTCAGGTACACAGATTAAAACTGTGGTTGACAGGAGGATTTGAATCTGAAAATTTATCATTGGATGTGAAAATAATTTTTGAAAACATTACAGTGTTGTTAACAGAGGAGATCTTTGAGGGTGCATTGTTATAAAAGAAAAACGGAGATAATATTCAGAGGATGGAAATAATTTTATCAATAAACACAGTTTCTGTTACAGTGTTACACTTCAATCACTGATATTCTAAGTCTTACAGAAAGTTATTCCATTTTACTAGTCAATTCTTCTGTTGGGAGGCTTCGATCATGATCTACTGCATGCAGGCCACGTACCTTAATTCATCCCAATCTGTTTAGACTCGCTTTGAAGTGCTAAACTATTGACATGTTGAATGTCATGTTCGTGATTTCTAACCACAATCTCTCTCTACAATAACTTTGGAAAGCTGATATTTTCCAGTTTTTGGATTGTATTATCGGAGATCTGTATGGAATATGGCACCTTTTGTTTTAGACAACTCCTTATGGCCCCACACTGCCACTAAAGTATTTCCTGCCAGCATTCCTTCCTCTCTATTTGTGCCAAAAGACTGGA